CGGGCCCGTGGGGACGGGACTGCTTTGCACTGCCTGGGAGGAAAAACTTCCCATGGCTTTTCCAAATGAGCGTTACCGTGCGGGAAAAGGCATACATGTGGCTGTATTTAGCTCTTGCATGGTAAAAACAATGGTCCTCTTGACCCAAACTCCAGGGTCTCGGTTAACCTGTTGCCAGCTGCTGTTTGAGACAGCTCTTGGGCATTGCTGCGTTCCAGTTAAAAAAGGGACAACGATTTATGAGGCTAAATACTCAGAATGAATGCATTGGAAGGGTAAGGCATGTGGTATAAATGCCCTGAATCGTACTGCATTTTAAAATTTCGGCTGAAAGTGATGTTTGGAAAGTTTTCTGCTTTATCAGGTAATTATTTTTAAAGTGTTCACTGTTCCAATGGAGTTAAATTTAAGTCTGTAACAGGATTCCTTTTTAAGCTCTGCTGCCTTTTTGATCTTTTTTTTTCTGAGCCATGTTCTAAACATTTGTTTGGATAATGATTCATTTGTGTTTGTAAATGCATTGTTTTCTCTTAGTTAAAAGGTAGTGGCCATATCAAGTTCTTCCTATGTGGTTCTTTGAACCTTAACCTCCGAGTGGCAAGTTGAAACAGAGGGCTAACATTTCATTATGCCTACGTGTGGCTGTACAGCTTTACTTGTTTTCTTCTTTGTGGATGACTTTTGAAAAAGTTGTAAAGACTACTTCTACTACAGGCTTTGTTCTGAGTTTGCTGTGGCCTGATGTAGCATTTCAAACAGTAAATTGTAAAGGGGAAGTGGCGGTAGCAGTGAATACAGTTTAATCAGTCAGTGTTGCATTAAGTAATTAAGAGGCAATGCATCAGTGTCCCAGACCTCCCCAGCTGCTTTCTGACCTTCTGCTCCTTTGTTTTCTTTTCATCCTGAGCTGCTGCTTCCCTTTTGTTCTGTTCCATCTCAGTTATACATTGTATTCTCAAGTTCTCATAATCACCAGATTGTCTTCTATTTTAGTTTTCTTCCTTTCACTGTTAAACTTTTGGCTCCATGACTTGAGAAAGAGCAGCTTTCACAGAGAAATTTAATTTTGTCTGAATGGTGTGCTCCTGTTTCTCCTGTTAGATGTATAATCTGACACTCTCAGAGGTTTTAGAGGAAGCACCACATATCATGGCATATATTGCCAGCCATGTGCCAGACTGGAGAATTTTCTTATTTCCTTTTTCTCCCTAGTGCTCCATTTCTTTAATTTTTTTTGAAATGTGGCTTATTGCTAAAAATGGATGGAGAATTATTGCTGGAGGCACTGAACATAAAATCTTCTACTCCAGAAATTCAGTTGGCTTTAAGAAAGTTGTATGATGTGAAAATAGTGAACAAAAATATTTCCTGATGTAAAGGTGGCAGAGTGAAGAATTCAGATCAGAGAGTCATGCATAGAAACGGGATAGATCAGTGAACAGCCAAGAAATGTGAATTTATTAGAATTTATTTTAAATGGTAGTATCTATTCATTAAAACTGCTTTTGGACAGATAGTCTGGTGTAAAGAATAATGCCAGAAGCTGCATCTCAGCGAACTGCAGGACGCTCAGGTACTCAAATGCCATTTGTAGGTGTTACCTGTCTAGGAAAGTTTCAGTGACCCAGCTCTGCTGGAGGCTGCGGGCAGTGTGATACCCACACGTGACAGCCTTTGGAAACAGCTCCTATCGCAGGGATCTCCGCCCTGCAGTGCCTGGGCTGGAAAATGCTGGGGGGGAGTGGAGGGGAAGAGCTCAGCTCTGTGCAGACAGCATTCAGATGCCTTTTGCAGAAGTGAATACATTTAACATGGGATGTGAGGTTACCGCAGGGCAGCCAGCAGAATGGATTCTTGGATAAATTCCTGCCTAAGTGTTTTAATACTATTCTGAATGAGCTGTACTTGTAATCTGTCACTTCTCCTTTTGACTCCACATGCTTACAGCGCTTCTTTTCCTCTTTGGATCACACCTCCCGGGACCAGCTGAGTTCAGTTTCTGCTGGAGAATCCATTCCAGGTTCTGGGATTGACTGCCAACAGTGACAGAAGTTTATATAAAACACAGTATTTGTTGGACAGACACTGACAGAAACTTCTGTGCAGACCTGGATCATGAGTGGGGGAGGATGGGGACAGGATGGGTATAGCTTCAAAGGGGATGTGTGTTTGCTGGGTGTCTATGAAGGAGTGAGACACAACAGCTGCTTTCTGAGGCTTTTCCTGCACTCATCCTTTCTTGTAGGTGTTTTATATATCTCTTACCCCTTTTGAGCTGAGGGGTAGGCAGAGGTCTCCCTTTCTGCCCACCTCTCTGACTTTTACAATGTCCAGCACTTTCTCAGTCCAAGGTGATTGTTCTTTCCCCAGGGAGGAGGAGTGAATATCGCTTCTGGCAATACATTGCCTGTGTCATTGACACCATAACTGCAGGAAAAAAGATACAGACAAACCCAAAGAAATTCTTGTTTACTGGTCTTAAATTAGACAATGCTTAGTATTCGATCTCCTATTGCCTTCAATTGATTTGATTGATCCCTTTGCTAAGTTGGTCCTCATTCTTCAGTTCTCTTATCAGTCTTTTCCCAGACCAGGTGTCTCAGGCCACCCCAGGGGGTGATTTTGGGGAGCTAATGGTCGATAATGTTCTCTTATCTCCTGTGTACCTTCTGGCTACTCCCAATCTGTGAATGTTAAAATTTAAAATTTTAAACCCTGGTGGAGAGTGTTGTAAAGAGAAACTTCAATTCCCTTCTCCCTGGGCAAAGAACAAACCCCTTGCTAAAGTTACATTAAAAAAAGGAAGTTTTATAATTTCCAGCATCATCATTATGCGTTGTTTGAGGTACATCACATTTAACTTGATTACTTCAACAAGCTTTCAACAAGAAAGCACAGAGCTAAAAAAAAGATAGATGCAACTCTTAACTAAAACCACAACCCACACACAGTTACGTGTATGTTTCTGTTTGCATAAATAATAGAAATATCTTCCCTTATTTTTTCTATGGAGGTTGCAGTAGGAAAAAGTATTTATGTGTAGCTTTGGCCTTTTAGGATTACTACTCCACTCTGACTATTGGGAATGTAGCAGGGAATGTTCCCCATGCGGGTGAAAGTGCTGAGTGCAGCCTGTATGATAAATAAATGAGCACTGACTGAAGGACAATGTGGGTCTGTTAAGGCATTTGGTGGTGGTGTTCTCCTGTGAGAGCACATGGTAGGGCTTTAAAGTATTCAGAGTAGCTAATCAGGCACTGAGAACGTGGATATTAAAGTCCAGCTGTAGCTGGGCTATTTCTTGATCAGACAAGAAGGGAATGGTAACCCATAGAAACTGTAAGGACTTCTGGTTTGCCTACTTGAAATTTGCCCTTTGATTATTTTGTTTGCTTTGAAAGGTGAAATGTGGTGGGGCTGGTGGACTAAACTTAATGCTAGATGGCTGTGCCTGTCCAGAGCCCTTGCAGGTTGGGGTTTCTTTCACAGTGGGAGGAATTTTTCACAGTGTAAGGAATCACCAGGGTAATTCAGACCTTGCTGGCAGCAGTAAGGGCAGAAATGCAGCTCCCTCTTTCTCTTCCAGTAGCAGGAATTCAGCTGCTGAGCTCAGTGTGGGCTGTAGTTGCACAGGCCTTGCCTCCTCATGCTAAAACAGTCAAGTATACGGTGAGGCTGTGCCACATTAAACTTTCATAAAAGTATTTGATTTAAACCTGTTCAGTTTAAAATTTTATGAAAGGCTGCTGACAAATAAGCCACTGCTGAAACTTGTCTTTCTGAGCAAGACTGCCCTTTTAATAATAAAAAATCTGAAGTGTGTTTTAGAGAAAAGGGTTAGCTTGTGAAATCCTCATCACCAAAATGTTGAAAGTTTTATTGTTAAGCTTATCTGTTGAAAGAAATTGCTCACAATCACGCCTACAGATTGAATACTTTAAATGAGCAAACTTAACACTCCCTACAAAACACCTCCTCCCATTCCTATGGCAAGAATTGTTTGCTTGCTGTTTCCCTAAGCAGTGCTTAAATGTCACACCCATATTGCATGTGATGCTTGCTGTGTCTTTTCCAATACTTTGATTGAAAGTATTTGAAATATTAGTATGGAAATAATTGGATGGAAAAATTTACACTTTAATTACTTGTGTACACTGTATTACACTGTAATACTTGTGTATAAAAAGACCAAAAACCCAAAGGAAAAAAACCCCAACCAAATCCCAAAACAAACAGCAAAACATTGAATGCTAATTTTATAAGCCTTTGAATGTATTGACCAGGCTAAATACCTGACAGTACCAAAAGCTCACTAGAACTTGGAGGAGCTGGTTACTCTCTTCCTGTTGCTGAAGCTGGTCAAGGCTCTCACATTTTCCTTGGGGAAGATAAAGTGAGTAATACCTAGAAAATGCATTGGTGATTTCTTGATATGATGGCATCTGCATGTATAGGGAAATATGTCAGTGGGTGTTACATCTTGCTCAGAATTAAAATTCCCAGTTCCCTACCTCTTAAACAGAAAGTGATTATGATCTCTGTAAAGTTATCTGAGATTTTGAATACATTTTCAATAGCTTCTGAGTATATAATCTATCAACCAACTCATTTTTGAGTTCTTCTCAAGGTGTCAGCTCAATATGGAAGATGAGAGTACAATTAATGTATAGAACATGCAATATGGTACTGCATACATACTTTATATAACACATCATGTAACCCTCTTTTTCTTAGCTAATACCATTTCTTTACATAACACATGTTTATATTTCTTTATATAGCCCTGGTTTTGTTGGATAATGTGGTCTCTTCCAATTGAAAATATGGGTACAGGGAATGATCTGTTAGTAATCTTATTGGACAAATCTATTTTATAAAGTTGTGCATAAGCCCCTAGGGTCCAGCAACATGGAATTTCCTTCTTCTGAGTGCTGCAGAAGGTAACTCTTGGTGAAGGAGGTATCCTAGATACTTTGAGACTGATGTAACAGTTCTGATTTATAATATCTTGCTGAAGTTGGCATGAAATATTCACAGCACTGGTATACTGAGTTAGGGACCAAATGCTTATGAAGGTTTAGGGTAAGGACAGAAAAGACTTAACCATGAGAATTACACATTGAATTTTTTTCTTGTTTCATTTTTGAATACGAAAATTACTATTAAAAAAATGCAAAAGTTTGAGGGAGTGGAAACCTGTTGATTAAGTCTTCAAGTATATAATCTGGCATTAGGTACCAATATTTAACCTATGTAAAATCTATGAAAAGTACCATTTCTGAATGAAGAGGTCTCAGCTGTGTACAAATAAAGCTATGCTATAACTGGTTGATGGTGTACTGGTATATCCTTCTGGGTAGATACATCTTTAGTACATTACTCTTTGCATATATCTCTTCTGAGAAAAAGCAGTTGTTCACTAAAGAGGATGAAGAATGATTTAAGTTTTATTTTTGACTAGCTGATGCTCTCTCAGCCTTGTGGCTAACACAGAACTGACTCACAAAAAATTCTGCAGACTTATAGGCTGTAGTAGGAATGCCATCCAGATGAAGATCTATAAAGAGAAACTCTGGATCAAGTTTCTAAATATCACATTTCTGCTCTGTTGCCAATTTTATCTATTCAAAGGTGTGACAGTATTTACTAGATTGTCTGTTTGACAAGGTCAGATGAAGGATGCTAATGTCTAAAATGTAAAGACAGTGCTTGTTATTCATCACAGGAACAATGAACAGAGAACTGAGTTACCATTTTAAACTGGCAAAGTTATGTAGCTTGAGAAAGCTGAAAATGTGTATGTGAACTTGATATCATCTGTTTTTAATTTTCTTTGTTTTAAAAAGGAGTTTATCATTAGAGATTATTATTATCATCATTATTATATTCAATTTTCTACTTAAAACCAGATTAATTTCTCTAGGTGTAGTTATATCCGGAGTATTGTTTAACTAAAAACCATTGCATTACCCGAGCAAATAAAACTAATGTCTGCTAAGGGTGTGCTGTTCCGACTTTCATTGTTAAATAAGGTGTTAGATTGCAGTGGATGTTTGATGGATTAGATGAGATAAGCAAGTAGCCATTGAAGTGAGGCTGTTTGCTGGGGGTTTTTTATTTGTTTTGTTTTCAAAACCAGAAGAAACACAAGAAACACAATCTCTCTATTAACTTTCAGTCTTTTAAGATTAAAACCCCCATAGTTACAGAATCCAAGTCCTAAAAAGCTCCAGAAACTTGAATGCTCTTTGTGAAATACATTAGTAAAAGTATCCACTCTTCTTTTGACCTGGAATCAATGTAAACAGGTTGGTTACTTTCATTTCAATTTTTCTGCTTTCATCCAGTGATCCCAGGAGGAAAGAAAAGGGCAGTGTAGTGTTCTGATGTGGAAACTCCATGTCTTTGCCTCAGTCAAGTAGATTTTAAGGACTCCCCAAGTTTCTCTGGGAGCACAGAGTCTCTGGTTTGGCTGTGCCCTCCGTGCTGTCCAGGAGGAGCTGGGCTTGCCTTGGCCCTCACGGTTCTCCTGCTGCAGCTTGGAAAGGCTTGGGCACTGTCATTACTGCAGCTGTGATGGCTGGGCTGGGCTTGGCACATTCCTTCATGCAGCTCCTGGTGGGCAGGAGCATCTCTGGTCCCAGGCAGCACAGATGGATTGCTCTCACCCTGCCTATGGCCAGGACAGGAAACCTCCCTGCTGAGGAGCTGGCATAAGTGGAGGGAGAAAAAGGACTGCCTGATATCCAGTGCTGAAGGGAAATCCCTCAGAAAAGCTGATTTATATGGAAGCAATTTGACTTTTTTATTAAGCCTTGCTTTTACTGGAACAGGGATGACCCCAGCTCATGCTGGGGAAGAGCAGGAACTAATGAAGCCCACTGGAGACAATGTCCTCTGAGCTAATGAGGGAACACATGGGGCAATACCAACCATTTCATGCTCTCTTATGACTCTTTTGTTTTGATAAGCTCTCTTTTTTTTCCTTCCCATTAAACTCCTTTCAACTAATAAGTTTTAAACTAGTCCCTAGTGATCTTTGGATCAGGTGGAATTTGAGGTGGGTGAATGATGAAGCCAAAGATGGTGATGGCTTTTCAGTTTGCTTACTCTGAGCTGGTGCAAGCTGTAGCGGCTCAAGATGCCTCTCTCAGGGCTGGTGTGCTCAGACAGGCCTTGAGAGGCTCAGGGAGGGCTCTTTCCTATGTTCCCTGCCAGCTCTCACCTGCACTTTGAGCTACCAATGCTTTCTGTGTGGATGGAGACCATTCCTTCTCCTGGTATAGCTGGAGAAGAAGGGGATCACTGAAGCTATGGACCTGTCACAGGGCCTGAACTGTGCTCTCATTTTGGTTTCCTGTCAAACTCACCAAGCCTAATGCACTGTTAATGTGTTTGCTTTCCTTCTGCCCAGATCATGTTTTGCACTTTGAACACTCATAAAGTTGATATGGACAAGCTCTTAGGTGCACAAATTGGCCTTGAAGATTTCATATTTGCCCATGTGAAAGGACAGCGAAAAGAAGTGGAAGTTCTTAAAACTGATGATATGCTGGGACTTACCATTACAGACAATGGAACTGGCTGTGCCTTTATAAAGGTAAACTTAATTACCAGTGAAATACTTTGTTCTATAGAAGCCCCTGTTACTATAATTGGTTAATTATTGGTTTCATGATCCTTTAGAACTATAAGATCTTTTATTATTATATATATGGTAAGTAAAGAATAAAGTTGCTTTTCTTTAGGTACATAATTCAAAATTAGTTCAGCTAATCTGTACTGCATGTCATTCAAAGTCAATTCATTTCTTCCTGGCTTCTGTAACGTGTATCAGCTTCACAATGAGACCATTGTATCTCCTGAGCTACCCTGAGATGGTAGGTGTTAGATACTGCTTGCATCTGCCCCCTCCTGTTTTAAACTGATTTTCTGATGTCATTTATTAGATGCTTATAGAACTTCTCTCACTCATGTGATAATGAGATCATGTTCTTTCAGTCTTTGGCTGTTCCTAGGGTAGAAGCCTTTGTGCTGTGCAAGAGCAGGGACAAGTACAGTGGTTTTTCAGCTTTCCTGTATTGTTGCCTTAGATAGGGTGAATTACAAGGATGTGGATTACCGCAATGAGCTTGAGTAGCAAGTATGGGCAGTAACATACTCAGTATATTAATCATAATTGCTTTCCTTCTCTTCTGTCTGACCTAGAGGCAGTATGTTTTGAGACAAGTAGAGGCTTATGAAATGATGCTGCCCTTCTTGCTAGACTAGGTATTAGGAACCTTAATCACATTTTCTGCCTTTTTGAGATTCTTTGCTCTTGCATATTCCAGTTACCCATTATTAGTGAGGCATTAGCAATTATATTTGATTACTGCTGTCCCAATCATTGTTCTCACTGTAAACAGAGCTTTTGTATGGAGAGGTTGTATTTTCTGTTCATTCCTTAGCTACCATGGCTATAAAACAAGACATGGTTTAGGAATTGGTTTGCTTGTCTTTGTTGTGGAAAAATGTGACTGCGGTCCTGTTTGTGAAAGTCAAGATGCAATAAAGGTTTCACTAAGCATTTTGGCAAAATCATAGCCTAACTTTTATGTTTATAAAGAACTGTGAATTTCTAGTGATGGCATCTATACAGCCCATAACATTCAGTCATGCTGCTGCTTATGTGGCATTTTAAAAGAAGGCATTGAAGCAATGCTTCAGTGAGCAGCGTTCACGAGTGCAGCCCTGTGCAGTGACACTCCCTTTGTGCTTGCTTGGTAACAGCCCTCACATAGACTACTGCACAATCGGAGCACACTGGAAAACCCTCACAACATTAGCTAGACAAGCTGTAACTTCCAGTAAATTGTGTAAAAGTCCTCTGAGCAAATATATATTCTTTTTCCTTGTACTGGTCTAATAATAAGCATTGTAATGAAAATGATGCGGTCTTCATGGGAATGAAGGTGAAGTTTTAAGGAGTTTCTAGGAGCATACTTTGTTTGTTGTTGTTGCAGATTTAGCTAATGGATCTTTTAAATCAGCATAGAAAATGCTGATTTATATATATACACATAAAGTAAAGGCTGCATCTTTTTTATTACTATATTATTTTCTAGGTAAATGACTAAGCAGAGACTGTCTCTAAAGTGTTATTGATTTTTTTTTTTTTTGCTTATGTACATATATTTTCCTTAAAAAATTGTGGCTGTGTCCCATTCTTAATTAAAAATTAATACTGAATTTACTGATTGGCAGGTTGTTGAAGGTTGCTATGGGTTGTAGTTATTTTACTGCATTTTGAATAACACCGTAGTTTCTAGGTTTGATGTGGTAACCCAACCAATTTTAAACCTGACACTGTACTGCAGGGCTTTTTCCTATGAAATTCAATCTTGTTTTGCCTTACTAAGAACAAAACCTGGTGTCGTTCTGCTTTCACAAATTTGTTTTTGGGGTACACAGGCAGGTGGGAAAAGGTATTATGGAGTCAAATTAGCATTCAAAGAACAGCAGTAGAACTTGAAGTATGACTGAGTGGTGTACAAGGAGACATTATCGAATAGAGTAGGCATTGCATGGGAAATATAGATCCTCATAGCTTCTCAATGGACTGTAGAGCACTTGAAATACAGGCAATTGCATCTTAATTACTGTAACAGTGTAGCTCGACTGTCTCAGTCAGTTAACTTGGAGTGATGATAAAAAGTGACACAAATAACAGCCAGTGAATATTATTTCCACAGTTTTAGTGTGTGGATCCAAGTGCTAAGAAGAGAAGCTAAATGAATATTTGACATGTAGACTAAACATTGATTGAAGCTGTGTGGGGCAGGTTTTGAGTCCTGGTAACAGGAGCGCATTTGGCACATTTGGTTTTTGGTGCGTACAGTACCACATCCACAGTCACCACCAGGCTTCTGTTTAGGGCTAGAAAGAGTTAAACTGAGCCTGAAGCTTCAAATGCTGGCAGTGCAGTGTGTGGCAGTGAGCACTCACACTCCCACTGCCTCTCTCATGTGTGGGCTCAGCCCTGTGCGGGGACAGGAGCAGCTCCCGGAGGATTGCACAGCCGGGCTGGCTGCTACAGTGGGAGGTGGCAGCTGCTTTTCTGCCTTGTCTCACTGTTATCTCACACACAGTCAGCTGAGCCATGCCAGTCTAGGTTGGAAAGATTGTTCTTCAGGAATGCTTTAGAATGAAATTTGTGTCTGCAAAATAAAAGGTATTTTACTATGTCATGGCTTGTCTATCCAATAGCTATATAATAATGGCTTAAGAGATGTATGCACACAATGAACCAATATGGCAGTATGTAACAACAAAAAGCAGAATCACTGAAATTTAAACTGTCACAAATCATACAGATATTTTAAAGATTTTCCCCCATACTTTTAAAATTATACTTCATAAAAGCTATAACTTCTGTTATGACCTTTACACTATTTGTGTTTTCCATAAGATGGCAGTTAAAATAATTTTTATTATTTCAGAGGATATCCTTTAATATACAGCTGAATAGCTTAATGAGGAGAACAGTAGTTTCAGCACTTAGTATGGGTCTTATTAAGATCAGCCCTTTACAGTATGTAATTTTTTACGAAGTCCCTGGACTAAACTTGAGAAGAGAAAAATTGGTTCCAATGCTTGTCAAGGTTAATTAAATAGAAAGCCCCCAAAAACTTGAATAACCATTCACATTGCTGAGATGTCTGTAAACAGTTTTAAAGCACAAAAATATTAGGTTATTCAGAATTCCTTACTTCTAAAGTGTGGTTGCATTCTTTTTTTCCCTGTCTGATTGTATATTCAATGCTTATTAAAACACTTTGAAAAATAATGCTTTTCAAAATATGTTTTATGATAATCTCATAGACAAAACACACTGCTGGAATAATAAGCTCAGTAATACTGATATTGTTAATTAACATTCTTGAAACTTGGTGGAGTCACCTCTTAAAAACAATCACCTTTTAAAGAAATGTTTTTAATTCTGGTTTTTTTTTTTTTTTTTCAAAATAGCGAATCAAAGAAGGCAGCATTATGGACCAAACCAAAACTGTCTGTGTGGGTGATCACATAGAGACCATAAACGGGAAAAATGTGTCAGAGTGTCGGCATTATGAAGTTGCCAAAATGCTAAAAGATCTGGAGAAAGGTCAGAAGTTTAAGCTGGAGTTGGTAGAGCCTTTGAAAGCATTTGGTGAGTGACCTGACTGTCCACCTTGTTCAGTAAAACACCTTGGTGGTAAAATCCCATCCTTGCATTTCATTGTGGGTTTGTTTTCAGAGAGCAGCCAGGTGTCCACGTGTGGTAACATAACTACTACAAGAAAGTACATTTAGTTTTTTTCTTTGAAGTGGAAGATTTATGAATGGATTGTCTTCCATCTTGTTTTGTCCAGCAGTCACCTGGTGTGGGTTACCTCACCTGAGCCTTACTCAGTCTCTTCTGCCACTACATGATGTTGCAAAATTATAACAGGAATTGTTTCATAGGTACAGTTTTAAAGCATGGATCACTTCATTAATGTCCTGATCCTCAAAACTCCTTTTTTCCTCTATTGGTACATAATCCCTGTTGTTCTGTGTGTCAGGCTTTTCTATTTCTGTACCCTTTACTGGGGTCTGTGCTCTCTGATGCAGAAGGAGTCTGCAGCAAGCACTGTCTGGGGTTCCCCAGAGCAGCTCCTTTGCTGCCTGCCTGTTCTCCCTCTCCCCCTCCCCAGCCTTTTGTGGATCTCCAGTCATGCAGCTGGTAACAGAATTGGAAGAAAGCAGAATTGCAAAGCTCTGTCTTTGCTTGCCACCTGCATGCAATGAGAAGTGCTGCTTAAATAGGAGAATGCACACCTACTGTTAATTCTTGTATATGTAAACTCTTATCAATGTAGAAAACAAACAAAAAAGAAAACAAAAAAGGGAAGTTTTGCTCAGGCAGTCAAAGTAGAGACTGAGTTACAAATTTTATTATGTCAATTGTTTGGATCCGCTCCCCAAACCATATAGCATTTTCCTGTAATAAAAACTTCAAAATGATGCTAAATCACAAATCTGTATGAGGCCTTCTGCAGTAACAGTCAATTCAATATCACTGTCTTCACTACAGCAGCAAAAATTTTTAATGTTTGTTTTTCAAAATTTTTTTTATGTGTTAGTAGTTTACAGCTACTGTCATACACCAGTCTTGACACTTGGTGTCAGAATAGTAGCAGAAATTGAAAATGAGAGAAATGCAAAGATTTTTTTCTTTTGCTTTTGGTGCTTCTGTAAAGAAAGGAAGTTATGAATTGATCTCTAATGTGTTTGTATGTAAGTTGGTACTGCTGTTAAGTAAATGTGTATGTTATACATTATGCTAAAGAATTGCATGTGTTGTCCATCACAATTAGTAATGCAGCAATACCTCTTTTTAATATGGGCCTGTAATTTGTGTTCAATGCTAGAAGTGTTACACGGTCTGTTTGTAAAGAACAGGGTAAATCAGCATTTGATTGATGACTTCAGTCATAATTTAATAGTTTTTACTTTAGTCAGGTGACTAAGACACCTTTTAGTCTGCCTGTTGATGTAGAGGAGGAAATGCACTAATTTCATGGCAATACCTTTCTTCTGCCATCGATTTAAGAGGCAACCAGAGCTTTGTGGAGAGATTTTTGGAATATGCACATTATTTTTTACCCTACAGAAATTCACTTGCAAGTTGCAGTGCTCAGTAGGTTAAAACGTCCTGCCTTTAGCCTTAGGTACAGTCAGGCTTCAGGCACAAAGATAATGCTTAAGCTGCAGCTTAAGCACTAAGAATAGCCCCAGAGGAGATGACAGACAAGGTCTAGATCCTGCTCAGCAAATAGGTGCTGAATTCCTGTTAATTTCAACAGAATTTGGTGAGGGTACAGAAATAATAGACGAACCTCTGTGTGAAATTATTTTTATTTTTCTTCCTCTCAGTGAAATGTGAAATAAGCATAATTTACTGGTTGGACATCCTTCTACCATATACACACAGGCTGTCTCAGCTCCCCTAGGCAAGGCTTGTAGCGCAGAATAAAAGATTTGTACCAGTCACAAGCGTCTGTGAATTGTGAAAAATGAATAGAAACAAAGTAAAGGCAGCATAACACAAACTCTGCATTTTAATTATGTGAACATGAAAAATAGTTTCTGTGATAGCCAGAGTGTTTTGGTCTAAAGTACTGCAAATGAAGGTTATCTCAAATCATGAGTTCTAAGGTGATAATGGTGACAGAATTTGAAAAATATGGGAGTTTTTTATCAAGAATGACTTTTTGAAACAAGTCTAGCAGAAATGATGACAATCTTAAGGATGTTTTAAACTGTCCTTGAAGCAATAAAAGGATAAAGAAAAAGTGTTGATCCTAAGGATATATATGAGACTTTGACATACCTATTTGTATCATAAAAGCTAATAAAATTTACTTTTCAAGCATACTGTTCAGCATAATAATCTAGATTTGTGACCACTTATGCATAATGATGAGCTGAAGTCTATCTGAGCAAAATTAATATAACATGTTAAAGAAGAGCTTATTAGAAAGGCCTGCTATTAAGGAGGAATAATCTGTTAGAGAAAACAGGGCAAATAAAAGCAGTTCTGCAGAATTGTCTCCTCTCTTCTAGCACTTTCCAGATTCACTGTGTAATTCCCATGTCAGTAAGTAAATTAAAGCCTTGCCACTCTTGAATGTAAAATTGCATCCTGAAACAAGAAACCCAAATCTTAAATGATTCCGTGCTCCATCTACTAACTGGAGTGCCCTTAGCCAGGACGAAACAAGAAAGGCTGAATTCAGGTAAAGGAAACTTCGTGTAAACCAGATACTCTTTGTAGAGATTCATCAGCTGTGAAATAATTTTAGTGAAACCAGTGGCAAACCTCCTGCAGATCTGCTTATGGCCACTCAGCTCTGTGAGTGCTGATAAGCAGATTGGTAACTCAGCTCAGTGTGGCTCATCATCACCTGCTTAGCAGCAGTGTTGGCACCATTGCATCAGTGAAAGATAGAAATGTTGCAGTGCTGAACCTGCTATGTGTTCTGTCTGTAAAGAGCTGAATAAATCAGCAGTTGGCCCGTGACTTCAGCTGCTATCTAATTTAAAGGTATTTAAATTTAAATACTTCTCTGCAGAACAGGGAAATCAAATTACACAAGGTACATATATGAAATGAATGCCATAGGCCTGCTTAGATATATTGGTCAATTGTTCTAGCCTCAGTGCAGTTGAGCAGATATTACAATTTGAAGACAAGAAATTGTCAGCAAAGCTATACTTAGAATAGTTGATTTATAATTAGGTTTTTACATAGTCTAGATCTCAATTAGGCTAAATGTGAAGATACTGTAATAACCAAAACCGATACCTCATATTCTGTTGTACTGTATATGTAGTTTTGGTTGATTTTTTTATTTTTGTTGGATTTGTTTTGTCTTTAGAAAAGCTGGAGCCAAGGTCCAAAGTCAGAACTCTTTCAGAGGCTAAAATCTCCAAAGGGAGAGAAACACTTCGCCTGAGAGCCAAAGGCCCTGCTACTGTGGAGGAGATGGTATGGTGGGGATTGCCCCTCAGCAGTTTGATCACCCGGCTTCTGATTTATTCTTCCCCAAGGATGATAAGTAGGAAGGAAAAATGGGATGTTACAAAGCTTGTGGGACTGAAGACAACAACTAAAGTTGATGACTAGCAGGGATAGGATGGGGCTGAAGAACCTGGAAGTACAGAACCCAGATTTAGAGTTCATGAACTGCATGGATGAATTTAGATTAGACCAAGGGGTGCTGAAAAGAGGGAAGGGGGGAAAAAAGAGGTGGGATGGTTGTGAAGAATTTGTTCCATTTCTGACACTGAAGTGTACAGGGCCGGTGTAAGGGTTGTTGTTTGGAGAGGCTGATTAGATACACTGACATGAATTTGTGCAAAACTAGGATTAGAGTTTGGTGAATAAATATTATTTCTTCTGGGCTCTTCTAAAGCTGATAAGGATTTGATGGAGATCTGTATTGTCAGGAGATACAAGGCTCCTGTTCAGTTTGAATGCATGAGTTGTGTGGCTTGATATTAGGAGGAAGGCTTATGTTTGTGAGAAGAGGGAAAGAGTGGAATAGTGTGTTTTAGATTCTGTAAGTCTGGGGGCCAAGGTGGGAGTAAGGATAATCACTGGCACATTGCTGGTTATTTTGAAATCTGCATGGATATGATCATACCTTTGTTCTTCTCTCCCTTTATTCCAACAAAGCCAACTGAAGTTGAAGAAAAAGCAATTAAAAAAGTGGATGAGCTTCTTGAAACATACATGGGCATAAGAGATATTGAATTAGGTGAGTTTTTAGCAGATAAATTACTACAAGAGTAAATAATTTCTCATTTTCTATAGTCTAACATTTATTGAGTACTTTAGTCTCTGGATGTAAGTGAAGCAAAATTTGTCCAGCCTGCAGTCTCAACAGCTTGCCTGTATTTCTACAAATGTGTTTTTCTGATAAAAGAATCACCCTTCCACTTCGATCCTTATGATGTCATTAATCAATCCTCTATTCTTTCTGCACATTAGCTATACACTATTGCATGACTTTTTTAGTTGTTTGCTATAACTGTTACCAGTGTATTCTTTCTGGTATATATTTTCTAGTGGATCTTGTGTGTGCCATGGTTAAGAATTCTTCAGAATAAGTATGTTTATTTGCTTTTTTGCCCCTTGGCATAGACCCATCAAAGTTGATTGCTAAGGTTTGAACCTGAGATCTTCATCAGTGAACAAGCAACTATTTAGCAAGGCAACTGACAGAATAATTACACAAATTTATCAAAATCTCTAAAGCCTGTGTTCTGATGAACATGAGAAAATTTACAGAATATTTACTAGTTATAAGAATCATTGATTTATAATGAAAGAAATGATGTAACCCCAGTGTCATAAGTTCCATAAAGATGCACCAAACTTGTCCTTGCAGCTGTTGCTTTTCTTTGTTATTCTGACAACAACTAAATAGGAATTTCTGTTTGTGTGGGAAGAAGCTGCAGTCTGGCTGTTGTAGCCTGCTGTGGCTGGTGTAATCCTCCTAGGATCTTGTGGAACTGCTGGTACTGAGACAAAGAGGAAGGTATTTATTCTTATGGTAATATCTTAAAAGAACCAGCCAAGAAAAAGGAAAGAATTGGCTAAATGGAAAGTGATCTTGAAAACAAACCTTTCATGAGAGAGAAGTGGAAAAGGCAAAGCAGAAGAGAAAATAGGTCTGGCATGAAGCTCCAGGGCTGGAGGGGCAGCAGTTAGCACATGGAATGAGAACAAAAGGTGGTTATCTCAATAGCCAAAAGGCCTTTTGTGGGTGCTCCTACCAGTGAGCATCTGTTTGGCAGATTCCACTAGTTTTCTCACAGGAAAAAATGTAGTTAAAACAGTATTTGTGCTTCAGTCTAAGGCAGAATTGGGCTTCATGGCATAGAAGAGAGGGCAGAGCTGCCCAAAACTTGAGTTCTGTTTTGTAGGTTCTATCTAAACTTTCCAATTTCCGGGAATCTAGAAGTTCTCAACATTTCTGTTCCCATTCACTCCAATATGTGATGCTGCTGCCATGCAGTGCTCTCCTGGGAGGTCTGTGTGCTGCTGAGCCATGTTTAGGTTAGGGAGGATTCCATGTCCCATCTCATTCCTGCAACCTCTGTGCCTCAGCCTGGCTCAGGCTTCAAAGCTCTGGGTGCCCTGCCAGCTGTCCCTCTGGGAGCTGTTTTTGTCCTGCAGCTGTTGCAGCCCTGGCTCAGCCTGGATTCTGGAAGCTCCTGTCCTTGCACGTTACCTCCAAGGTCCCCAGGCTCCTTGCCCTACAGGAATCAGCAGCTGTGGGTGCTCTGCTTCTGGTGTCCATGGGAACAGTCCTGTGGGAGCTGGTATTCCCTGTATTTTTGGCTCTCAGTACTGTAAACAGGATGGCTCTTGCACACTAGACTGAGAAGTTCAGCTTTCAACACATAAGGTTGAGTTAGTTGCCAAGCACCTGGTAGAGTTTTCCCATGAATTCCTTGAATTTTTTTTTCCCCTCAAAAGATCTAATGCCCTTCATCTTTCAGTATGTAGTTTGGAAACTTAAAAAAAAAAAAAGCCTTAGAAGAATACTCAAAGAAGAAGAGGTCTTTGTTCATAGAGAGGCTCTTTTCTTCCCAGCTGGGTGGTTGTTTTGTCCCTCACCTCTTCTTTTCCTCCCCAAAAGGTAGTGAAACCAAGAGGAACTGTCAGAAATCAAAGACTGTAGGGTTCATGTAGCTTTAGTTTGCACCTTTGAAGCCATATCTTGAAGTTCAAATCTAAGAGACAACAGCCAGTGTTGATGATTCAAACCCCCCAACTTTACCATTTTATAACAATTAAACAGCTCAAGGATTCTTTAGGAAAGGAGAGCTAATCACCTGTCACAAATCTGTTCAATTAACACATGTCAGTTTTTCACATACTGGATGTGATCAGTCACCCATGAAAGTGAAATATGAGGAAAAGATTCATTCAGAGAATGCCAATCACCACTTAGCTCGAAATTTCTCTCATTACTCAAGCCAGATTAGTTGAAAATGCAAGTCATCACAAAGTGCAGCTGACAAGTGATTAAGATCTCAATCATTGCTCACTTCCATGCACTTCTGTTTGTCAGAATCTTTGGATGTCAGTTAATGTTACTCTTTCATCTCCATTAAAATGACACTTCCATGGTGTGATTGAATTCTGAAGCAGTGCCCCAGTTTTAAGACATAAGTTAGAAAGAAAGGAAGGAAAAACTAATATTAAATTGCAGACAGGATTAAAGGTGAGATAAAGCCCTTAATTTTTGCTTTGTTAAGTATCCTGACAGTTTCAAGAATGGCTGACTAAATCTACACACAAATCCCTAGGCTGGACCAAAATACTTGGAAATTGTTAAAGAAAATGCATGCACTTATTTTCTGGCACAGTTTTTAGTTTTTATTTTCAGAGATCTAAATGCCATTGAGATTTACATACCTGCTTTTGGATGCATTTTTACCTTTTTACTTCCTTACCCCTTTGTACTGAAAACTGTATGTAATTCAGAGAAGGGGCAGTTGGCTCTGGAAATGTATTCTTCAGCCATTTTATGGGCATAATAGAAATTGAGCCAAGGCTTGACTTCAGCATTCTTTAAAACTTAAATACACAGCTGAGAGATAATTCAGGTTATTTTAAATTCTACGAGTGCTTTCTGGTAAAGGAATTTGAGCAGTTGGTTAATAGGAGCTACTCAGGAAACAGTGCTAGTTAAAAATATTGACATTTATTTTTTTAAATCAGTAAGACTTGAATTGCTATGGACTGTATTTAATCCCAAAAATTCTGGGTGGGAGGAGGCCTGGATCTAACCCCAGAATGCTACCGATGGTAAATCATGGCAAAAGGGCTTCCTGTCCACAGTTTTTTTTAGCACCTTTTGGCTTCATCCACCAGTATTTTCTTCCCCTTTGTTCTGTTTTTCTGCTTTTGGATGATTATTTCCTTTCTGTTGCTCTCTATAATATTATCAGGCATGGTGTATCACAGCATCATTAGGGTTGGAGAAGAGCTCTGATATCACCGAGTCCAGGCTTTGACCAAACACCACCATGCCAACTAAACATAGACTAAGTGTCACACCCAGTCATTTCTTGGGTACTTCCAGCTGTGGTGGCTCCACCACTTCCCTGTGCAGCCCATTCAATGCTTAACCACCCTTTCAGTGAAGAAATTTTTCCTGATGTCCAGCCTGCACATCCCCTGGTGCAGCCATGGGCTGCCAGATTCCCTGGGAGAAAGGTGTGGGGAACAGTATCCAAGGCATTGCTGAAGTCCAGGTGGGCACATCCACAGCCTTCCCCTCGTCCTGTGGGTGGCTCATCTGGTCATAAAAGGAGATCAGGTTGGTCAGGCAGGACCTGCCTTTCCTAAACCCATGCTGGCTGGGCCTGACCCCCTGTTTGTCCTGTCCATGCTATGTGATCACACACGAGATAGTCTGTTTCATAATCTTCTATCACTGAGATCAGGCTGAAATATCCTTGCATATTCTGTCTTTTCTGTTTAAAAAAATTGGACTCAACTTCTCAATTTTTGACTTTATTTTTCAAACTTACCATCTAGTCAAAATATCTTAACAGGTTTAAACCTTTTTTGTTACCCAAGCTTTTTCTCTTGGCTCGCAAATCCAACCCATCAATATTCAGTAGATGTTTTTATCTCTAAATGCTTTAACTGAAGTGATATTCTCCCTGAATCTGTTGTTTTCTTTTCCTTCTGTCACCAGACTTCCTTTCCCAAAGGATTTTATTGCATACATCCAGGGGTGTATTGTTTACAGCTGTTCATTTACTCTGAGAGAATAATGGGAGTTTTTTTAATAAAAGGAAGGGCAGCAAGTCTAGTTAAACAAAATAAACTTCAAGAAGAATTAGTATTTAAGAAAATGGAACAAGCAGAAATATTTCTGATAGTTATTGAGTACCAGATCTGACAATGTTCAACATGAAACTTAAACCAAGCAATGTTAAATACTGGAAACTGCAATAATGTGCTTCATTTTCTGCTTTAGAGTGACAGAACAATAATATTTGTTACCTTTTAATGAAGGCAAAAGTTATAATGGCATTACAGCTAAATAAATATTGAGGCTTTCTGTCACGAAAAAGCTTTTTCAGAAGTTACAGTATAGGATAAAGGTAGCAAAACCACCATGTAAGGTAGATAATAAGAATGGCAGGCAGAAGGTGGCTAGCATGGCTTGTGCCCCATGTGTCCATTAAAATGAAAATAAGGATTTTGTGAAAGATCATGGAGATTATTTTAAAGGAACTGTATTTGAAAAGCCAACATATTACTTTGTTCCTATTCTGGGAAGCTTGACATTAACTTCTTAGTTAAAGTTGATGAGACTTCTAATTCCTTTCACTACTTTTAAGATTGCTGAACTTTTCACATTTTATGTAAAAATCAATCAGACATTAACGTTGCCTGAAGTGAACTGAAAAAAAGAAAACCTGAAAACAATTGAGGCTCTTTTGACTGTGGAAAAATATTCTACTGGAATAAAATTTCTGTAAGAGCTGCACAATAAGTGATTACAAGAAGCAGTGGGGAAAAGGGAGGGGAATGGAGACAATCTGGCACGAAGCTGTCACCCTCTGAGAACCAGCAACGTTTCCTTCAAGCTGGCAAGTATCTGCTGCATGCCTTGGCAGTCAGGGGCTTTGATTTGCCCTGGGAATTGCGCATCAATTCCACCAATGCCACCGTGCCACCGGGCGCGTTCTGCCATCCATTCCGCCAATGCCACCGTGCCACCGGGCGCGTTCTGCCATCCATTCCGCCAATGTCACTGTGTGACCGGACGCATTCTGCCATCCATTCCGCCAGTGTCACTGTGGGACCGGGCGTGTTCTGCCGCCCTGGGAGCACTGTCCCACGGCTGTGGCAGCTGCTGGGGAATCAGGCAGGGAATGGGGGCTGGGATCACGGGCTGGCAGGGCAGCTGGCCCTCGGGAAGGCAGTGCAGGGGCTTGGAGCTGTGGCAGAGCCCGGCGGTGCCGCTGTGCCCGGGGATGCTCCGGCAATGCGGGCGGGCGGCGCTGGAGGTCAGCACCGCGCTGCCACCGAGCCTGGCTCTGGCTGCAGGAGCGGCTGGGAATGCCGTTGTGCCTCAGTTAATACACTGCATTAAATGTGCCCTGCAGTGCTGGTCACACTTAGTACAGGTGAAAATGGGGGATTTTTTGAGGCTGCTTTAGCACGGCGATGTTCTGATTCTTGCTTGATTGGGTTGAAAGTTGATCCGCTAAGTTTTTAGTGGATTTTGTTTTCAAGTTTTGTAAATCTGTAATAAACCAGTTTTTTAAATTCTATTTAGTTATTTGGGAAGGTAAATCTTTAAAGAAAGTTGTGTTTGAAGTACCACTTTGTTAATGACAGTTTGCTATGTGCAATTCTGAAGCTTCAGCCAGAGCAGCTGGACTGTGATATAATGCCTTGTTGTCTTGTGTTATTGCTGCTGTCTGCTTCATATGGTGCTTCCATATCTCTTGGCCAATTTATCTTAAAGCATTCCTGCTCCCACTCTGCTTGAACACTTGTCTAGATCCTTACTCATTTGATTTCTAAATATCTGGTGTAACAATCTCTTGACGTGTTTGTTCTTTCTCCACCTCGCACAGCTATTTTCTCTCCACCCTTCTCCCAGTGTCTATAAAAAGTAAGTTTACATCCAGATTCATATCCAGAAATCTGTGAAGTTTCAATTATACCCTTCACCTCATTATCTCCAGCTTGCTTCCTTGTAAGTACCTTCTTGTGCCCCATTGTCAGAAAATAGAGAGTGCTGTTGTAGAACAAATCCTTGTGTTCCTCTTACCAAGAACAAGAGTCCCCTCTTTAATGCCTATTTCCCATCCAGACTTGACTGAATCAGAGTCAGAGGAACTTCACAGGGGACACAGAGAGAATCAGTGCAACAGGGATAGGGTTTCTTCTGGTAGGGTCTTGAGAGTCCTTGAGAACCGCTAGTGGTGCCTGGGAGGCTGGGGACACTTGAACTGCTTCCATCACAGCAGTTTATTTGTAAAGATTTACATACATTTTCCTTGCACAGCTTTGTGTAGTTTGACACACTGGGATTGGAACCTCACAGCTGAATACAGTTAAAACCAAAACATCTAGTTTCCTCAGAGTTACTGTTGTTGACATTTACAATGTGGAGTATGGCTCACGCTTGCTCACAGCTTGTTACATGTTTGCACAACAGCAAGTGCTGTTTGCCAGAAGTTCATAACTGTCAATAAAGTTGAGCTGAGTTTTAGGTCAACAAAATAAAATAAATGTAGTAAAACTTCAGAACAGGGAATGTTTATTTTTATTTTTCTCAGAGAGATTTTGCCATGTTGATTCAATACAGTGCATGTGGTAGATAGCAGACTGTCCCAGTAAAATGTTTTCTTGTGGCTTCAAAACTTCCTTCTCTTTCTCAGGCACTATATTACGCATTTTACATTTGGACTTTTCTCTAAGAAAAGGCTAGAAGCTACCAAATCCTTTGCTTTGACACTTGAATTTGATATGCTTGTGAAGAAAGTGGCAGGAATTTGGTGTTTAACAAAAGATGGAGGACGTCTAGCAGTTTAAGGCAAGGGTATAAAGTAATCACAAAATGAAGCAGACTTTGATGTTTCATTTATTGTACTATATCATCATTTTCCTGTGAAGAGAGGATGTGCAGCAGAGATACAGCTCAGAAAATAAACTGTATTCAGCAGTGCTGTTTGTGCTGAGTGTGTCTTACAGAGCATTCTGCCCTCAAACCATGGTAGCTTGCTGCCAGTGGTGCTCTGGGCCCAGCTTAACCAGGAGAAATTTCTGTGCTGACTCTTTTCACCCTTCATGGAGGTGCAGGTGCAAGTGCAAATCTGTCATGATCAAAACAGGTTTGCATTTGCTCTAATATCCATGGGTTGGCAGCATCCAGTGTTTGGGATAGACTTCTGTGTTTTCCTGGAGTCTGAGAAGCTGCAGTGGCAAAAGGTGAGGGATGATCACAGCAACTAAGGAGTCAGTCCTAAGCAGCAGCTCCAGTGTAGCCATTTCTAAAGTGTGCTCTGGCACTTGATAAATCCTGATACTTCTCTGGTAAATAAGAGAAAATGCTGGACAGTGTTGGCATACAAGATATCACAGTTTAACTCCATTGTATCACGCCTGCTTTCATTCTCCTGGATACCAAGATGTTCCTTGGTGGCTCCAGCTTCTTGTGCACAGCAGCAAAGCCTTTCTCTTCCTTCTGTACAATTTGACCCACCTGGCTGAGATTTTCAGAAATAACTTTTTCACTTTCTAGAGGCCTAAGCATGAACTTTAAGTGCATAATTTCCTCTTGAATCCTAAATTCACCTGGTAAAATTTGCATGTCCCTAAGCTGACCTCACCAGCTGTTGAAAACAGACATCTCAAATCCCATCCATCCCTATCCTGGTTCTGTGTGTTAGCTGTCACTTTCATGATAATTACATTCTTTTGTTTTGTTGCTTTTTAGCTGCAACAATTGTGGAAGCTGGAAGAGACAAGAAAAACCCAGATGAGTTTGCTGTGGCCTTGGATGAAACTCTTGGAGACTTTGCATTTCCAGATGAGTTTGTATTTGATGTGTGGGGAGCAATAGGTGATGCCAAGCAAGGACGACTGGAATGAGAACTGTGCAGTTTATCAACCCCTGTTTGGAAATACAAAATGATTTGCAAATACATCAGAATGTTACTAATTTTGTTGATGTGAATTCAGACTGCTTTGCACAAGTATTCTGACCTGAGATTTTCCTTTGCAAAGGAAGGTTTCTAATAGAAATGAAGGTAAACCCAAACTTCTGACAACTGCAATTTAAAACATTTAATTACACATAGAAGTCACTGTGAGGAGAGTGTCAAGGTGATATATTTATTCAGAAATTTTATGAAAATTAGGTAATTTTTATTGTACATACACTTTGATACCAATAGTCTGAAAAGTTTTAGACATATGCAACTAGGAGTTTGGATTATTTTATCTCTTTAGAGAGGTTTATAAAGCTGTAGAGAAAGTACCTAGCTTCATGCTGCAGTTCCCTGGTTTTCTGCTGTTTCTATGTATTAGCCTAGAGCCTTATGTTTTCTTACAGTTTGGCCTGGACATTGTTTTTACTGTAGGCAAAGCTGGGAAGAAGCTACCCTGTTTCTTTAGAACCAATATTCAGGGAAAAAAAAATTCCTCTGAAACATGAAAACTAAGATCTTTGGATGAGAAAGGCTTGCTTGCATTTGAGTCATAATATGCTCTGTCTGGGTTATTACTGAGATGAGTAGAAATGCTTAAACCAGGAAGCTGCTGCTTTATTCAGATGCCATAATATTGCAATAGGAACTGCACAGAAAGAAATAAATGTTAATTTTGATTAATATTAATGCATTTGAATAATATCTGGAGACTGCACTGGAGACTACAGTGTATCACTAAGTGCTTAATTGATCTTTGCATATGCTAAATGATTTCTTGAGATCCCATGGAGTTCCCCTCTTGTCTGTGTGTTTTTTCAACATGGCTACACAAGAGAGATACTGAAGGTGTTAAAACCCAAAAGATATTATTGTAAAGTCACAAAGAATTGTAGTTTGGATGACAGTGCATGCCTAGACCTTGAAAAATACGTTTAACTAATCTTAGATGTTAGGTTTTTCCAATTAAATTGTACATAAATGTTTATTTTGACTACTAATTTTTTACTTTTAAATCTGAGATTATTGCAAATGAAATTGAATGAGAATGTGGGCTCTGGCCTGGGAAGGTGTCATATCTTTTTAGTATTTTTATATTTGCATAAGAATATAAAGTAATAATTACTACAAAGTTTTTTTCTAAATCACTACCTGAAGAAAATGTCTTTCACTGAATTGCAGAGATCTCTTTAAAATAAAGATTATGCCAATAAATTTACATGTTCTATGTCAGTGTTGGTTTTTTTTGGTCTAAATCTGTGACACTTGGAAGTATCATTGAGCGAACAGGTTCTTGTTCTCATTACTAGGTTCTTGAGGAAGGATTCTAAACTCCACTTCAGCAAATTTCTGTAAAACTTGAAAATAAAATTGAAGAAATTCTAAGGAGATGGTAAAATTTTGTACATCCCATTGCTCATTTGACCCTCAAGGATGTATTACTTTGCAAAAGGAGTTTGAGCATTTCTTCTTGTTCAGTAATTGCAAGTCTGAGCCCACAATCTTCTGTTGCAGTTGAGCACACTCTCTGTCTTGTGCAGGGTTACTTTAGCTGATTTACTCATGGTAATGAGGGGTTAAAGTGTTGTGGGCCATATGATTTGTTCTTTAAACTTCTAGGTGAAAAGCAAAAAGGAAATTCCAAGAATTCCTTGTTGGTTTCAAAACATAGAACTCAAATGTCAAATTTTGTGGACGTGTTTATGTACACTACTGTTAGTTACCAACATGCCACTGGTTATAAAATGTATTAAAATGAAGAATTCCTTTAAAAAAAGAGAAAAAGTACTATGGATAATGTACAAAATGTTGCCTTGTAGTAGATAACCACTTGTTAACTTGTGTTTTGGCCATTCATTTGATTTTGAGAAATTAATGTTGTTCAATCAGTGTATACTCAGGGAATAATTTGTCTCATTACACTGATAAAATAGTAAGATAAATATAATCTCTGAAGCTCTAATTCTGCAAAGAGCTGCCTCTTGTCACAGTGGCCTATTTTTGTGGAGTTTATTTCAGGTCTAAGATTTAAATAGTGATTGCAATTTTACTAGCATTTACTGCAATAAAGCATGTCAATGTATCTTACTTTTTCAGTGTTCTCAAAGCACTCACTATTTGCAGCACATAAGACAGGTACCACTACCTAATCTGGTAGATTATTTGCATTTTCCATGCATGCACGAATAATTTGTCACAGTGAGAATCCCACTGCCTTATAAAGCATGATAAATACTTCTCTCTCTTTGTAGTGATATGTGTAGCAAATTAACGTTGTTTCACTAATAGAATACAGCCTTTAAAACTTAACCAATAATGACACTAATGCTTTGTACAGTGAAAATGTCATTAAATGTCACTACAAATGTCTCCCAGGTTAGTTAGACAAACTAATTCTAGCACATGAGCTCTATTTAAGTGCTGGCCAGAGGGACTGTAAACATCTTGTTAGTGTGTGCTGCACATGGAGGTGAATGCTGGTAAATAATCTGCTCAAAATCTGAGGTGGAATGGCCCAGAACAGTAACTCAGCCCAAACTCAGCTGTTCTAAAAGTGACTGATTCCTTACTTTTGTAATTTGGTGCAGAGCCAGCAGAGAGCTGGCAGACAGATGCAATTTGTGCCTTTGCTTCCAGACTTACTGCTATGTTCAAGACAATGGAAAACACAGCTCTATTTTCTTCTATTTTTGCAGAGTCGTTAGGTAGTCTTTAGATGCAACAAGGGGATTTAATGAAATCTGGTGTTCATAAAGTTCTGAGCTCATCATTTAAAAAATATGATGAGCGATGAATATTTTACACTTTTAAAGGAACAAATTTTGCAAATTACAGGTACATCTTTTGTGACACCTTTAATATGCCAAATTATGCTTCAGTTAAACCTGATTTTATGCTACCCTATTCATTCAGCTATTATTCAAAGAGCTATTAATATAATCAAGTCTATTTAGGAAAATCTCGTCTGCTAGTCAGATTTGAATAATGCATATACTCTTTATTTCTTTATATAATTTTCATCACAATTTGTCTAATTTCTCTTTTTTTGAGATAAATGTAATATAAAGCTTTGAAAACCTTGGTTTTTGTGAATTTGAAAGTGCAATATTAATGTTAAAATTAGGCTAATTTGTAATATTTTGCTGGATTTTTTTCTTCCTGCTTTTTAATGAGAGCTTATCCTACTTTTCAAATTGAATACTGTTTTTGAAGAAAAGAGTTCTGAGAATGTCTCTTCCAAAGTCTGAGTATTGTAGTAAGATGATATATTATGCTTTTATTTTTCCTTTTTTTTTTTTTTGGCCGGGAGATATTTCAGAACAATTAAAAATCAGGGCCTTGGCTCTTTCCCTTTTTGAAAGAAAGGCATCTTTGTCGTGAATTTCAGAACTCAACTCTGGCAATAAGAGCTTCATCTGAAATTTATATTCAGTATTGTTTTCCTGTCCAATTCTCTGACTCAATATGTTTGTAAGGCATTTTGCATTTAGATGTTGTAATGCATTAAAAGATCTCTGATTTGGTTTACGAAAATGTGAACAAATTTACAGACTTGGAAGTCAAAGAGAAAATCCTCAACGTTTCAGGAGGATACTCATACATAGTAACAACTTTGAATGAAAAGTATGCAGCCTGCAGTACAGACTTTGTCCTCAGAAAAGAAATGTTTAATGTGTGAGATTCAGGCACTGACAACTAAAATAGATTGAGACTGCATAAATGTACAGAAAATATATTTTTTTCACCTACTGCAACATGCACTGTCATTAAATAGAACACAGTGTCTAAAAGCAACAACAGAGTTTCAGTAGATTGAATAGAAGCGATCTCCTGATATATTGATATTGTCTCTATCTCTCCTGCTGTTTGTAAACAGAGAGGTTGGGAACAGCTTTTTCAGTTTTCTTTAATGGCACTTCTTACCTAAATCTCTATTGTGATGTCTGAGCTCTTTCAGAGAGATGTAGCTGCTGGTTTTGTACCTGGATCATTATTTTGTGGGGTTCTCCCGGTCCCCTGAGAACCAATGCAGGTTTTCAAGTTGTGGTAAGCTGATTTTACTATAGTATTTGAAGGAGAGCGAGAATCAGGGAGAAATAAATGTCTACTTTTCTTTGAAATGAAGTCTGCAGGTCAGACTAGAGGCAATTCAATGTAAATCCCTGACAGGATCAGTGTGGAGGTTGGGTACCCCAGTGGTTCTGGTCAGCAGAACTGCTGCTGTGGTTCTTGGCGTGTTTGCCAAGGAGCTCTCCTGCCCTGCTAATGTTTGATAGGAATGTGGGCTCATGAATGTAGTATAGAAATTATTGCCTTCTTTTGGGATGAATAATAAAATATTTTATTGTAATTTTCTAGGGGTAGGGTTTTTAGCATGAACTGCATTAATTAACGATAAGAAGGAAATCAGGGATTTGAATTTTAGATGAGATCTAGCTGAAGAAACATATTGCACCACAATATCTAATAATGCAATTTTCTGCTTACAAAAAATATTGGTTTTTAAGTTTTTCCAAATCTTTACTTTTTAACAGGAAAATAATGGTGAACAGTGAGGGAGGAGACTTCTTAGTTTAGTGGAAAAAGCTTTTAATGACAGACTTAGAGTTACAAGTTGTGCTTGTAACACAGCTGATCTGTCAGTGATTTGTGTAATCCTTTCACTTGACAGCTCTTCCAGTAAAGGCACAGATTTGTACTTTATATATATAAACCTTCTCTGGCTTGAAATGGGAAAGCAAGCATGGTAAATCCATTGCAAGTCACAGTCTCCAGGCATTCATATCATAGTATTGAAATCTCTTTTAAAATCCTTCGCACATACTTTCCAAACATTCTCATTTTTACAATGTGGATTTTGTTTCCAGTGAGTGTTTTAAGAGATAATTTTACTTGCTGAGCTGAAGTTTTGAAACCAGTAAGCCTTTTTTGAAGCATCTCTAACCTAAATAAACTAAATTTTTAATGATCAGATACAGAAAGCAATCAACAGAATGACATAAATCTCAGCTCTGTTGGTAACAATACCTGAAATGCCCAATGGACGTTTGCCATTAGCATGTACAAATTTGATAGTGACAAAATCCTAATTGCAGGACTACAAAAGTGGGGTTAACCTTGTCCTTCTTATGTCAACAAATTAAAAGTGCATGTTGTTTCACAGTTGATATGTTTTCGTTTCATTATCTATAAAGCAAACCAGAAAAGAAAGGGAGTTACAAGTATGACCTTATTCCAGGAATAGGAGCATTGTGAATTGAGGTGAAGCTCTAGATAAATATGCTATAACTACTTTCTCCTTTGGTAAAGAACAAGCTAATTCCCTTCATTGTCAAGGATAAATGAATATAGCTTTGACAATGTTTGTCTTTTAGAATTCTGTGCTACCAACTGAATGTGCAATTTTCTTGGCAGGGTTCTTGGTTAGAGTGAATTGCTGCAAGGGAAAGGTTCATGAAACTCGGCTCAGATTGGTGGTTTTGCTCATCAAGTCCAAGGCAGATAATACATTGCCTGTGAGGGAATCAGCTCTTTTCTTGAGCTGTGCTAATTGTCACACTATTGAGATAGTGAATTTACCAGAAGACTTTCTCAAGAACTGACCTGAGGGATGATTTCTTTTTTAAAGTGGCAGAAAAAAGACCATGGCACAAAAAATAGGCTTATGTTAATGAGATTGCTGAGGACACAAACTGGGAAAGATGACATGACCAAAATGATTGTGTTTAAAACTTGTCCAACAAGTTTGCCTTTAAAACTTGACCAATAGTATTTTAATAGTTCAATATTTTAAAATTAAATGTTATAACTTCAAATTTTAGGGACTGAGGGAAGTTCTTAATTGGAGATGCTACATGGAAAATACCTTGATGCTCTAGTCATTGAATGACTAACCCACCTGAGGGCTGCATCTGGGAAAAAGTGACTGCTGTGCATCACAGGAGGGAAGACCAGGAGAAACTTGGAGGCAATGTGGCAACCCAGAGCAATTTTTATTTTTATTTTCAACCCTGTGCTCAGTGCAGGCTTCCCCTGTTGTTTAAGCATTGGACAGATTTGGAAAAAAGGCCTAATAAAATGATTATGAGAATCTTTAAACATCAGACTGAAGATCCTGTGTTCTTTGGTACAGCTAAAAAGAGTTTCTTAGGTTGGCAAGAATCTTGGAGAGAGGAGTTTTTCAAGCCAACTGCACTGCCAGGAATACAGGTGTGGCCA